GGCCAGTACCCTTTGGGAATCCTACTCAGACTGCATGTGGCAGGGAGGGGAGGGCAATGCGTGTGGCTGTAGTTTACAGCCTGATTCTACAATTGCTTCAGAGGGGTAGAAGAGGGTTAGTTTGTAAGTGGAAAAACTTAAAAAACAACAAATAGTCTGACAGCACCTTGGAGACTAACAAAATATGCGGATGGTGTCATGAGCTTTCATGGGCACAACCCACTTCTTCTGATGGAGTTATTAAAAGTCCAGTTTCTAAATATATAGGGGATGGAGGGAAGGAAAAAGAAGGGAAAAAAAAAGAAAAAAGGGGGAAGAAATTGTCACTTAGTGTCCATGCCACATGAAGCTGATAGAGAAGGTGTTTCTCTTCATGTAGCATGGACACTAATTAACTATTTCTTCCCCCCTTTTTTTCTTCTTCTCCCCCCCATCCCCTTTTTATTTAGAAACTGGACCTTTAATAACTCCATTCATCTGAAGAAGTGGGCTGTGCCTACGAAAGCTCATGATACCAACTACATGTTTTGTTAGTCCCTAAGGTGCCGCTAGACTATTTGTTGTTTTTTAAGTGATTCTACAATTGTTATTCAAGCAAAATCCCATTGGCTCCAATGGGTATGCTACATGTGGACTGCCCCTTTGATTTGATTTTAATACACATGAACCTTTTTAATCCAGCAACCCTGGCAAATAGGGTATGCCAAATTAAAGAATTTGCCAGGCCAAGAAGGGCACTGCGGGGTCTGGACATAAGGAGGGTGGGGTGTTTACCTGATGCTCCCAAGGCACCACTATGAGAGTGAAAGGGAAAAGCCAGAGAGGAAGCACATCGCGTCATTTCTGTTCCCCTAGCCGGGGGAGCGGCAGTGCACAGAGCCATTTCCTCCTCCACCACCCAGGGTCGGTATCCCAGGTGTTCCCGGATTAGGGACACCCAGAGAACGGAGGTTCATGTACTTTACAAATTTCAGTAAGGCGGGGACTGTCATCTTACGTGCCTGTCCAGCGCACAGAACAATGGGGTTCTCACCCTAGCTGGGCCTCCAGATGCTACTGCAATGCAAATAATAATCTAATCATGACTGTAAAACAGCTCGGAGCTGGATGCGAGCTGCATAAACAGTTAGGTATAGTTACTGCAGCAGGATTATTGACAGAGCTGCAGTGACTCATGTTCCTTTACTAGTCTACCTGCAAAACAGGTTGAAGAATCACCCATGCTTAAAAGGTTGCCATGTAGTGTCTGTTTGGGACAAAAACAAGAAGCAGAGCTGTTCGATTCAGTCTGGTCTCTGCTCTTAGAACAGTTGCAATGTTTCAGTGTTTTGCCTGCTGCTGCTGTGCCAAGCCAGCTTTTAGAAAGTCATCTGGGTTCGATTTTACCCAACAGCTGATATGCCTGGACTGCATCCCATTAAGCATTGCCTGGCGTGACATGGGTCTCCTTTACGAAGGGGACGTTTGGCTGTACAGATAGGAGAACATGGCAATGAATCTAGGTAAGAGATGCATGCACTGCCCATCCACCACTCCGCCAATGCACCTGGGGTCTCTGCGGCCCACTGCTATTGCTGTCCAGCGCCTCTACATGCAAACTCCACCAATAAACTTCAATTCGCACCTGCAGCTCCCCTGGCCACTCTAGTCCTGGACTCCCCCCATCCACACACCCATGCATTCTCTGCCAGTGCATCTCACTTCTGTCCTGCAGCTCTCCGGGATTCCAGTCTGACAGACACACACACGCGCTCCACCAGTGCATCTCAGTTGTGATCTGCAGCACCCGACACTAGTTCAGGGCTGCATCTCTGGCGCAACGACTGGCCACACACCTGAAACCACGTCTCCAGATATTAAATCTGGAATGGCCCACGTACCTCTCCCCCTCCTCTTTTTAAAGGAACGTGATAGGACACAGGAATGATAATAAAAAATTGAAAAGAATGGAAAACACACACATTCACCCCCCCCCCCCCCCC